TCACAATGCCAGGAGAGCATCCTTGGCAGCTCCCCTCTGCTGGGTAGCACAGCCACAGCTATAACCACAGCGTCTTGTGCCAGCTCCAGCAGGGCAGCCAACCCTGAGAAACACAAACTCAAGGTCATCAGCAAGCTGAGGGATTTGGGGGTGGAAGAGGTAAGCTTGTAGTCACCAAAGCAAAGCAAGGCCATGACCTGCCATGCTAAAACCATGCACTACAGTTTTTCATCTGTAAGGTATTTTGGGTGGAAAAATGAATCAAGAATACCCCACTGGATTATTGGCTGCTTCCTGAATTAGTTTCTTAGATTGGCAGCCACTAAGATGTGTGCTGCTGGCATTGCCTTAATTGCTCAGTCTGGTCATATCTATTCATTACAGAAGAGGGCTTTGCTTTGCCCTTTATGTTAATACTGCTCCAAGAGAGTCACTACAAATTCCATGAAGAAAATTTTTCTGTTGGTCTCATGGATTTCTACCTCCAAAGAACACACATCAGCAGGGCTCTGAAGCCTGTCAGACCCTGCTGAGGACAGAGAAAAGAAAGGGGAGGGAGGGATGAGAGAACTTGTAGCTGTTGTTTTCCACTGACTTCATCTCACAGTGGATGCACGCTCTGGTTCAAGCTTTCTCCATTGCAGCAAGGGCTGCATGGTTGGGACGTATGGAGATGAAAGATCTCTGGAGTCAGGTCCCAGGGTACACGGTTTATTGTGGGCCCTGCTCAGAGCTGCCACAGCTCAAAGTAGGCCCCAAGGAGTGGGGATAGGGTGAGATAGAGAGTTCTAAGTGAGGGTCCAAGACAGTAGGAGAAGGGGATGGAGCGAGGAGTAGGAGAGAGAGAGGGGAGAAGAAAGAAGAGAGTTTTGTCTCCTGGGAACACCTTATCAAGGGGGTTTCAGAGTGGGGTGCGGAAAAGGACTTTGGATCAATGGGATTACTGATACATGATACTTCAGGGGATGGTTACAGGTGCAAGATAGACTCTACGTTTTTGAGGAAGGAGACAGAACAATTTACCTGACCCTTTGATTTGTCTGTGGGTCAAAAAAGGCAGTTACCTCCTACTGGCTACACCACTGTCCACCAGTGCTTAGCAACCAAGGTCTGCCATCTCAAAGCTCATTTTCATCTCAATTTGGCTTGCATTCTCTGCACTCTCCAAATTCCCCAAAAGGCAATCGTACTTATAAGGCCTTCTTATTTCATCTTACCCAACACTCCATGACTGACATATTTCTAAGGTCTCTCTTTGGGGTAGATTTTCAGCTGTTTTCTATTGTGACAAGTTACACTGGATCTCCTTAGTTGTCAGGGAACTTGAAAAAGCACTTTTGTCTCTGCCTGATACCCAGCTGGTTATTTTTTTCATCCCTCTGCAAAAGTTTGCTGAAGTTGGCTCATAGATTCCAGAGTTAGAGAGGGAGTACAGGCACCTACAGACCCCCTTCACATTATAATCACCTACTGTCCTTGCAATATGAGCCAGAAGGTGGAATGAAGGCAGGAAGGCGAAGCAGTAAAGTTATGAAAGAGGGTAGTCAAGTAGTATATGCTTTGTATTAAATATATTTAGTCTTACTTTACTGTTTGAACAACATTTTGGTTTAAGAGTAATGTTATTCCCTTATTATTCAGAACATATATTATCAGAACAATAATCCAACTGGAATTACTCAAGTATTCTTACAGAAATAACTACCCAGCTTTCATAATATGTTGTGCTTTGAATGCTTTATTGACAAGACTGTGGAAACATAAAGGAAAAAACAACCAGCATGCAGTTACTTTAGTAATTGAATTGCAATGTGGATTATGTTCATTATGGCTTTCAGAAGCCACTGAGCAATTCTCACTGCAATAAGCAAAATCTTCATAAAAGAAGAAACTCTTTTTTTCCTTTTGTAATGTATTAGTCCAACTATATTGGTTTCACTATTTGGGACTTTCCTACAAATGAACACAAATATAAAATAACTTTTTTATCTGTCTTTAGAATACTCACAAATGGTTACAGGGAATCCAGCCCAACATGTAAGGAAAATAGGGAGTACTTATAATTCAATCTGGAAAGGTGTATTAGCCTTTACCCAGTATGGTCAACATAACTGAAAAAAAAAATTCTCATTAGTTTTCTCTTTTATATTTACTTTTCTACTTTCTATAATATTTTTTTTCTTCAATATGGACACCCACAGCATGTAGATACCTTCAGCTCATATACTAAACCAGAAGTTTTATAATCACATTTAATTTGGTTTTACTTAAACCTGAACAGACTTATAGTTTCCTAAAAAGAGACAATGTAAACCTCTACAGGAATCAAAAATAATAAAGAAAGTAATTGGCAAGACACTGCTTTTTATACTGGCAGTTGAAACATTGTATAACCCTCACTTCATTTTCTTTGTCATTATTTCATATGTTTACTGGAGCTTGAAAAAGGCAAGTCGTCATTTTACTACTTCATCTAACTGTTTTACTTTCTGTTGCCTTGAGATCAACTTTTTCTTTACAACAGCCACAATAGCTCAGGCTTCTTAATAATTAACAGAAATCATAACATTTAGAGTAGAAATAAATTATAGGCAAAAAAGTCTCCCCCAGATCCACAACTTGGAACAAAAGAGAAACAATGCCTCATTTAGTAACAATCCTCCCACCCTTCTTCCTCCCCTTCTATCCAGCAAGTTTTCTTGGCTTAGTTGGCTGACTGCTTCTTCCTGGAAATAGGTCAGCTCCCAGCCTGAGAGCCTCTGTGTGTGTTGAAAGCCTGAGACACTGCCTTTCCCTTGCAATGGTTCAGAATACAAAAGCTGCACTGAGGAGTTATCAATAACCTCCTATTAAAGCAGCCCAAACCTGATAGGACATGAATTGTGACTGAAAAGTTGGAGAGACTGTGATAACACAGCTAGGAGCTGTCTATGTTGTTGTTCTAACACTGCTGCAGAATAAGAGAGCTAATTAAATTTATCCACAACTTCATTAGTTAGTCTACAAGACTTGTCTTTCTCCTGATAACTCCCTACTTGTGGCCCAGATACTGCCCTCTTTGGCTGCCAGAGCAGACAAATAAACCGCTCTTCATCTGTACTTAAGAAATCCAGACAACCTACTATACACAAAAATGTATAGTTATAAATGCTTAGGAGCAGCTCCTGCAGGACTGACACTTCCTATGAGTTTTTAATAAAGACAGCAAGTATTCAAACCTACTCCAATTTATTATCTTGGCATGTTTCCATCCATGTTTTCAGTGGTGAAAAGCTTAATTTAACAGAAAATTCACTTAAAGTCTATCTTTTTTTTGTAATGACATGCTGTTTTTCTTTTATCTTGGTACTAATAGGAATTTTAAATTTTGTCCTTAGAATACCAAAATTGTTTTTCAACACCACAAAAAGATTAAAAGCATGTGAGGGTAACAAGCTGTACACATACATATGTTATTTATGCAGTTGTCACTGGCCTTCACAAGTAATGATGATAAACACAAAAAACCTTGCATGCTTCCCTATGATAAAAACTGACTTTACAAGTGGCATTTCACTCCAGCAGTTTCTGTTCCCTGTGTCCACATTATCAGTGGTTGCATTTTCTCTTTTCTAAAAACTAGGAATACTTCCAAATATAGTCAGGGAAGCATGAGCCACAGTACAACCATAAGAGAGGAAATGCATGTCACCACACTGAAAGCAATGTGACTGCTATCTGTACACTATATATGCCACATTTGCTCATCTCAGCTGCTATGAAAACACAATTGTACAGAGCAGGTTTTCACACAGACATCAAGAAGAGAAAGCAACCACGGGTATCTTTACTTCCCTACCCATATCACACTCTAGCCTATATGAAAATTACAGTGTATTATACTATATTATATCGTGTGTTATATCACCGTTAAATGTGACCTGACGGGCGAGACTAGAATAAAGCTGAGGGACTTGCCATCACCATCCACTCCTCTGCCACAGCCTAAAGCATTAGGACTGCAGTGGGTCCAGTGATTGTTCCATCATACCATTTTTAGGACAGCATGTTTAAGACCCTGTTCCTCCCTCACAGTTTCTGAAGCTAACTGGAAGCTTCACTCTGCACACAGATGGCCACAGAAATAAGAGCAGCTTCAGCTGTAAAAAGTTTGCTACATCAGCTTCCTGCAAGAAGAAAAACTCCAAAGTACCACAGGATGTATAATACAATACTTGGAAGAGCTATAATTATCAGAACATTTGTTCTCCTGTGCCAGAAGTAATGACTACTTCTCTCCTTTGATTTTAATGGGAGCTCATGGCTGGGCATCCTGAATGGTAGGTAGGTGGTCCTAATCACTCACCTGAAATTGCACCTTAATGCACCTTAAAATGATCAATTCTGGCACCAGATAGTGTCTAGGCAGAATTTAGGCACATTAAAATCAGGAAAACAATCTAGGAAGCCCAGACTTCAGCAGCTGGCTAACCCACAATGAACGTAAAATTACGTGTCACTTAGGTGTCATTACACAAAGTTGCACAAAAGTTTAGAAAATGAATCAGCGCCCTGAAAATGTAGAAGCGCCCTGTTTAACAGCGAAGTATTCTACCCTACCACTCTGATACCACAGTAAGAGGTAACGAAGAGTTTTCAACTTATTTATTTTGACTTGTAATAATTAAGTGATTTAACTAAATAGTTAAGTAACTTCTTTTTATGCACAACCAAATTACCACATGTGAATTGTATGGGTAGCTGGTCTCAAAAAGCCAACTTTGAGCTCCTTCCAGCTATCTGCCCAGACATTAGGCCACAGGCAAGATGTATCTTTGCCTGTCTGGAAATATTAATATACATCCTGGGATGAGCTGAGACCTTGTTTCAATTTATGAGGTAAAGACTGTTTGTCTGGCTGCTTTGTTGCCAGGTGATGCAAAGATACATCATCCAAGAGCTGAATCTACATCACCATGAGCCTCAAGGGAGAACTAGGCTCATGTTTCCCAGGTGACTACCTTTACTTCTGAAGCAGCTACCTCTTGAAAAAAAGCTGAACTGGACACGTCTCCCAAAATTCTTCCCCATCCTTGACCTCTGTAGAAGGAGGCACCTCGTGCTGGTGCCTGAGAAGGATAGAGTTCAAACACCTTTGATCCATCTCTTAGCTGCAGGAGTCTTCCTGCTTTGCAAGAAGCTGGCTTTTTTGTGCATTTTAAGGTGCTGAGTCCAAGGCACCTAACCCTGCACTCTGGGGCAGGGGGACTATGTTCTAGGTGAGGAGGGACAGCAGCAGGCACTCTCCCAACCCTCAGCCCACACACCAGACAGGGTCTACCCAGATACCAGTGCTCAGGTTGGTGACAGGATACTGTAGTTAAGATTTCAGAAGGAAGTTACTTTTTTTTTTTTTTTTTTTTTTTTGTAAAATGAAGCCATTGTACATTCTGGGGCCAGAGAGAAGGGCCCATGTACATTTAAGAAGAGTTTTCTAGAGATAATACTTGCTTCTACAAAAGCAGAACAGTTGTTTTTTTGTCTTTACAGAACCAAAGTCTATTGTAGCTCTCAGCTTCTCAGAAAGATAACTCCAGAGACTCAAGTACTTTCTTACTGTTCAATATGATGAACTGGCTTTTGGCAGCTTGGAAGGGAAAACAAAAAATAAAATTTAAAAAAAGTGTATCAACTCCCACTCTCCCCACCCAAAAAAAAAAAAAAAAAAAACCAAAAAAGAAAAAAAAAAAGGATATTTGGCTAGAGTTAAATGGATAACTATTATTAGCAGAAGGACTATGTGAGTAGCACTGATGGATTTTTTTCTTAGTTTATTGTTTTGCCCATCTTAATAAAAATCCCTTCTCCATCATTTCTGCTATTTTATATTTGACCTATACATATTTCAGGCATGTTTAAATGGGAACTTTATTTGGTGAGTACAATTAAAGAAAGTATTATGTCACTTAATATTTTTTTTCTATGCAGAAAAGGTTAGCTAAATCATCATTTGAGGAATTTCAGCTAAATCTGAGTTTAATACATTACATTCAATCCATTCTATGTGCATCTAAAGTATTGCATATAAAGACAACTATTTTATCCAGTATTCCTATTACACAGTAGGAATACTGGATAAAATATTTTAAAAATTCATTATTATAGACTACTGTCATTGTCTTATTAGAATTTACTGTAAAGAAAATTGAATCACTGGAAAATTTTTAAATAAACTGTTTTGCTATTCTTTAGGTAGCAATTAATACTCTCTTCAAACAGAAAATTCAAATAAGAATAAAGGCACAGAGACATTTGAGTCACACCCCCTCCTCTGCAGTGATACTTGGTAACTATCTAGGATGCACTAGTTGCCTCAGGACATAATACTCCGCTTGCTGCTGCTTTGGACAGGTGCCTCAAGGAGATTCTTTTGTGTTTTGCTCTCCTTATTGTAGCTTGTTGCTATAAAGAAACCAGGACACAAAGTCTTGACACAGATTTGACACTCTTGCCCTGCTTTGATACCTAAATAGACATCTACTCAACAAAGAGAATGGGACCAATAAATTTAGGCCTGAATAGCAGTAATTTACTGTTTCGTTCCTTTAGCTGAATATCTAATGAAGTAGAATTTCTTACCCAGTGTGCTTTCATAACTGAAGGGAAACTTGAACACAACAGTCACAGAAACTGACAAATTATGAGAAGTGACTCCTGTGCATGTGCAAATTTAGACATACTCATAGCTAATTCCACTGGTTTACCTGTGTGCAGCTGCCTTACTTCAGGTAGCACAGGGCATGGCACAGGCATTTTCTCCAGGAAGTGCTGGGCTGACAACTTCTAGTAACAGCATCCTTAGCTGCACTAAGCAGGCAGCACAAGCACTAAGCACTGGCACAAGGCACCTACTCCTCAGTCAGGTAAGAACACCGATCGTGCAGCTGGCTGAGATAGTAATTTACCAGGTAATCCAGTGGGTGAAGTAGCCTGGTAATCTGCAATCTTATCATCACACAAAGCTTTGTATTGCAGTCTTAACACAGCATCAACTGCTGCCAGCTTTTCTTGCTTAAGGTCTCTTATATTTGAGACAGATAGCTAGACAGGCAGATAGATTAGCTGTCAGATAGATAAAAGGTAAAAATTTAGTTCAATCCTTCACACCCATCCACCCCTCACTCACCACTCCATCCTCAAACTCCACTATTTCCTTAGGTATTTCTACTGTGCAATAAGCTTCCTCCCTGAAGCCTGCTGTTGACAGTAATTCCTCCAAGATTTCTTTATTGTCTGTCTTTTACAAATACCCATGTTATGCAAGAAGATTTGTGTGATTAAGGGAAAAAAAAAAAAAAAACAAAAGCAATCCAACTCTATGATATAAGGGAAGAATGATAAACTTGGAAGCAGGTTGCAAAGAGCAAAATAAATCAGGAATAAGGCAAGAGTTCCATCAGGGCTGTGCATAACTTCCAAGCCCTTCGCCCTGCCTAACAGCAATTTGAAAGGGACAAAAGAATCCGTGACATTCATCATGTGTGACATTCAACCATGCAGATGCCATTCAGCGGCACACAAAATGTCTTTGCTCATCCTCCATTCAAAACGTCTGTGTTGATCCTTCTTCTTTGCCTGTTCTTTTAAGTCCTGAATAATATGCAAGTTTTCTTATATTTTTACAGCATGTACATCTCCAGGAGAAAATTACATTTTCTCCATTGAGGATCCTGAAATGCTACTCAGAGAAAAATTCAAAATAATGATTACCAACACTCAGAATATTGAGTTTATTTGGTAATTCAGAAATCACAGCCTGATTTGGAAGTAATGGAAATGCTTATGTTTATACCACTAAATGCCTTTAATGTTCACCACCTCCAGAAAACCACTACAGTATGAGCAGGAAGAAGATTATTTCATACTGCTTCACAAAGATACACACTCACACTCGACCAATACAGACAGAAGGTATTGTTTGTCTTTTGTAATTCACACTCGCTTATTTTTATTATCCTTTTATCAATGCCTTAAGAAGGGGTATGTTCCCAACTATTTAGCACACATGTATGTCAGTCTTCCACCTAAGGGTTTATAAATAAAAATCCTTCTGTGTTATCACTTTTAAGAGAAAAAAAAAAAAAAACTAAGGTTCAGACAGTTCTCTGATGTCCTTGAGTAATTTAAATTGGAACAGTAGAGCCAAATTATTTGGCTCTAAAAAAAAGCTTATCAACTTGTTCTGTCTTGCTGCACAGGCTCTGAAATCCCAACACTGTGCAGTATCACAGGGGCAGAGATCACTATGTGATCTAAAAGCTCTAAAGAAGCGCTAAACATTAAAACTGCTAATGGAAATATCCTAAGCCAAGCAGATAACATGTGTTGGTATGCAAGTGCATGGCTATGCCGATGAGAATCCAGTCTGTGTCCTGTCTGCATTTCAGCATGGTCACCATGGAAATGGGAACCAGCCTGCACAGAGCCTAACAAAGGAAACCTTTAAATGAAAATAACAACACTGGATAGAGGCTGCGCAAGATTTGTGCTGGGGAAAATGACTTGCTTTACTCATCTGGAGATGCAGAAACCCCCTTTTACCTGTATTTATCCTTTAATAATACTTTATTCACACTTAGCTGTTTTGACATTAAGCCATTATGCTGGTAGTTCCAGTTATTAGTCCTTATGAAAATACATCACATGAAGTACATACAAACCCCACTTTCATTCATTCAAAATTACAATAGTGAAGAAAGACCACAATGAATAATATTTATATAGTGGCTAGGAAGCACAGTGAAAAAAAGGAGCAGCTGTATTTTACTTCTTTAGCTTCTTAAATTAAAGTTCTGTGATACTGAATCAAAAAAGCAAAGAACAACTCACATGTTGTTCCAGAGAGAGGCAGCACACAGTTAAAACTTGTTGGTAGGATCTCATGCTGACTTTGACCAAATTATGCACAAATAAATATTAACTGTTAATGTGTTTAGGTGTCTGATGGTAATAGCCTGTATGCTTTCTAAAACAAACATAATAAAAAATACAAGTCCTGTAATACAGTATGAATGAAGCCTTACTTCAATCTGCAATGCTGTGAGAGGCAAAACTCCAAAAATAATACATAGTAGTGCTACTACTTCTTGCTACCTGAGAAAGAAGGAAAAACTAGAGACAGGTTTACTTTAAGTAGAGTTCATGTTTAGGTCCTCCTTTCAAGCCATCTCCAGATTATAGAATAATTTTTAACATTAACATTACTCACAAATATGATAATAAAACATCAAGGTATCAAAAGATGATCACAAAGAGGGAGAAAGGCAGAAATCAAAATCGGCTGTACAGATTTAACTTGGTGTGCATGATTGCACGTTAAAAGCATTTACATCCCAATTTTAGCTTCATTTATAGCACCAAATGTTCCATTTCCGTTTGCTATTCAGTTATCAGTTTAGTCTATTCTGCTTTGTACATTGCCATGTCCTTTTATGTATATAATTTTAATCTTAGCAACTTCCTTGTTGATTATTGCCTACATATCTTGAAAATAAACATTTAAGTATTTGCATGTGACAGAGGATTTATTTTTCAACACTCAAGTGAAATGAGAGATCATCTTTACCTCCATTTAAAAAAAAAAAAGTACTTACCACTTTTGGATATCTAGTGATACAGCTAAACCCTTATTTTTTTCACATTTAAAATACAATTTCCATTTACTTCAGTCACAGCTGTGAATACAGAGCAGTTTTGCACATCAAGATGCACTTGCACAACCAGGTCAAGCCAGTGGAAGTGACAGCTACGAGTGAAAGAGACTTTTCCAGCTTTCCTCCCTCTGGCCACGAGTTCTGACTGTACCCTATGCCAGCACTAACAAATAAATTGCTCAAATTGCTCAAGAGCAGGACCAGTTTAGCTGATCTCCAAAACTTACCTGGCTCAAGAGGGGGAAAAAATTATTCAAGCAAATGAGTCCCTGACCTGTTCCTGAGACTAAGCCATAGTGATAGCACAGAGAAACTGGTGGAAACATGCATACAGGAGTGGATGAAATGTCCTTGCAGCGTCAGCTCCACATTCAGGTCAGCTTAACCAGATCGTGAAAATGCAGCTTCAGTTTTGAGAACCCCTGGCTGAGCAAAGAGAAAGAGAAGAACACAAAAGCTCCAACCACATGTCAAAGATTTGATTTAAATGACTCATCTGAAATTGTACTCAGCTTTTGAGGGGAAAAAAAAAAAAAGAGAGAGAGTGAGAAAGAATCCACTTTTGTAAGGAAAACAAATTTATTTCTCTTAATCCTACATTTCATTCTCATTCCTTAGACCACTTTCTAATTCCAAAACTAAGCAAGGCAGGAGTTCCAGCTCATTATCTGATCACACCATTTTTCTCTGTTCATAGGCAGTGACAGTATGATGTACTAATGTGCAAAAGAGACAAATTCAGGTGGCTAACTTACTCTGGGCACTTTCCAATTTTTGCATGTTAAATGCCATTATCACAGCTTCTATCCCAATTTAAACAAAAGCTTACTGAAGAAAAAGAGTTTGTAAGTAGGGTCTCCTATTCCTGTATAGGAATATATATATATATATATATATTATATATATAGCCTATTACTTACAAGAGTTTCTATCATTGGAAACTCTCTATTCTACACAGAGACGCCAGTTTCAGGTAGACCTGTTTTCTCCTTCAGTCTGCTTGGGTCCCACAAAGACTTGAGAATCCATGGCACTCATGTGGTAGACCTGTAGCCTGAAAGCCATAAACCTCATGTTGCTTCAAGTTTTCATTTCAGAATTAAAGGGTTCAAGGGATGCTTACTTCACAGAGTGGAGATTTTATAAATGCACTAAGAGTTGTATCATTAACATCCTGGGTTGCTGGAGGAAGGTGCATGTTAGGCTTCAATATGAAGGCTTGCTGAGACACTATAGGCGAGGTCACCCCGAATTTTACTTTCTTCCCTAGGTTTGGTCTTCCAACACTATCATTTGATAATTCACTCTGAAGTTAATTATTATTATAAAAAGGAGAACAAACTGGTTCATCTGAAGCCCAGGAACTAGTTAAGAGCATGCAGTACAGACAGTCAGGAGACCACCATCCAGAAGCAAACTGGAAAGCAGAGTGATTTAAACAATGATGGATATTGCTTTAAAAATAACAACCTGACGAGTCAAGAGAGAAATTTTTTGTATTTGCAGGTATATATCTAAGACCTCACACAGAAATATCTGACTAGGGTCCACAACAAGGTGGACATAACTTAGAATCTAACTGATAAAAATGCATTTCTTTCCAGAGGAATACAGTTTTGCATAGACTTGTTACCTGGCCAGATTTAGTTAGACAATGCAAATAGTGCCTTCCTGCCAAATTTCAAATATCTCCTCTCAAGCATGGGGGCCCTAGAGCTTTCCAAAGCAAATGTTACCACAATTGAGCCCAGGAAAGCTACACTGTATTTTCCACTGGCTTCACTCTCAGAGAGAGCTGGGCTGTTTTGGCTCTGAGTTTTAATAACAACATTAGGAAAAAAAAATGCATACATAAAATGGAAATTAAAAGAACTGGATGTGGCAAATCTATCAGCAGCATGTAGCAACAGAAAAGCTTCCAGCTTTGTTGCCCTGTTAATACGTCATTTATTCCACTTAACGTAATCTACTTCTCTATGCTATACACATTTTGGTCAACATTTAACAAGGTTGGTAGCAAAGTCATGCTATCAAATTGATAATTCTGTTTCAGATCTCTTCTTCTTACAGCATCTACAAAGTCTTAACGACTTTCCAGACACGAAAGTACGCATCAGCAAAGGGTAACCCATTACTTTACTGTTGCATTATTTTTAGTTGAATTTAGAGACACAGCAATGCACCCCATGTGACCCATTTAATTCAGCTGATAATTCAGTAGTTAATATACTGACATAAAATTATGTCTGGAATAACTTGGAATAATTTCTGGAAGTAAAGACTAATTCAGCCAAGCTCTCCTAATTAAATTTAAGAACATCACCTTTGAAAGAAAACCAGTTCACTAGAATTCAAACAAGTTCAAAATTATTATGGGAGAGCTACAAGTGTACCACCATAGCAGAACTCTAAAAACACTTAAGGAAAAACTCCCCTGTCCTGAAACTTTCTTTTTGTTGCTATTCCAACAAGATCAAAGGCCTTAGCAAGTATTAACCCACTAATCAAAAATCATGACATATCTGAAATAAAAATTTTCACAGCTTTCAGATGTATAAATTGAGATAAATCATGGGTAGTGCCTAAAAAAAGTAGACCTATCCCACTTCTGTCATTCAAAATGCCAGGGAAATTCTTCTCTCACAATCAGCCCTTATCGTCTGCTTTCAAAAACCTTTGCAAGTCTTAAGACTCCATGAATTACAGTGAATGCTAATGGTCCTGGTTTTCAGTAGCTGTAACCAGGAGAAAAATGGATATATTAAGCAAAAGTACAGGGTGGAATGTTTTGCCTACTGCTACTTTTCAGAATTTTTCTTTTTTTAACAAATTGCCAGGCTGTTTTTGTTCTATGTATCACATCACAGGTTAATATTTTTGTATTTTATTTCGTACCCTCCAGCCACACATTCCACTGCCATGTTCGCTATAGTTCCTGAAAGAACAAGTTAGAACAGCTCGTCAGTGAAAACTCATTTTCATGCTGCCTCTTCGGTGATTTGCTAATTAAGGGTTTTTGAGAGTATACAGTAATATTAAAACTCTGAAACTGCCTGGGAATTTGCTCATGGCAAGTGAATATGATTACTTATAGTTCCCAGGAAAATAGATGTAATGGTAATTAAGGTAGCCAAGAGAAGGAGGAGATGGTTCAAGTTTCCCTATCCTTGTCCAAGGAGCAACATCTGCCCAACAGTAGAGTAACAGACCTAGAGGACTCTTGCAAATAGGAGCAGCATTCACAAAAAGCATTCATCTTCGCACCTAAAAAGGTATAATCATCATATAATTCTAATTTCACGCATCAGATTGTCCCCGTTCCCTCCGTTCCAGCGCGCACACACACACGGAGTCTATTTAGGGGAAAGTGAAATCTATGCCGCTCCAGGAGTTTAACCTGCTTTAAAATCACCGCCGATGCATCTCACTCGCCCGCAGCCACAGCCCACCAGCGGCAGCTGCGCGCCCTCCGCGCGTCTCCGCCCGGCCCCAGGGCGGCCCCCGCTCCACACCTCGCGCCCGCCGGGGGACCATCCCTCCCTCCTTTCCTCCCTCCTTCCCTCCTTCCTTCCCTCCTTCCTTTCTTGCTTCCCGGAGCGGCGGGGCGGACAGACGTACCCAGCGCGAGGAGCAGAGGCGGCAGCGCCGTGCCCGCGGAGCCCATGTCCGGCGCGCTGCGAGGTCGGGCCGAGGCCGCTCCGAGCTGGCCGCTTCCCAGGGCGACACTGAGCGCCACCTGCTCCGAGCCGCCCAGCCACCCCCAAATACTCTTCCTCCTCCTCCTTCTTTCCCTCCTCCTCCTCCTCCTCCTCCTCCTCCTCCTCCTCCACGCCCCCTGCGGTCCACGGTCGCAGAGGGGCTGGAGGGCGCTCCTGCCGTCTCCCGGCGCTCAGTCCGCGCCCGCGGCGCAGCCGGCGGTGCTGTGCCCTGCAGACTCTGCCCCGCTCTCTTCCCCCCGGTTTTACTCTCTGGAGGAGCCCCCGCTCTCGGCCCGCCTGGCGCTGCCTCATGGCTGCGCTGGAACGAGGGCTCCAGGATCGGGACACCCACCACTCCCGCCCTGGGTACCCTGGGCACCCTGGGCAACAGCGGTTTGGAGGGCTGGGGATGCCTCTTTTTTCTTATTAAATTGCATATTTGATGACACTGAGTCTATGTCTTCTTCTTTAAATGAGATTTTTGCAGAATATAACCCCAGCTATGCAGGAGTGAAACAGGATCCAGAAGCCTTGCCACACAACTGTCTCAAACTTGGCAATGATGGTGAGGATGTATTGCCTAGGCAAAATTACTGCCTGCGTTGCCTTAGATGCCAGGCCAATATCCAGGTAGACAAAGAGAATCGAAGCCAGCAAAATCAGGGAGGTAAGGAGGTTGAATTCCGAAGAAATCAGAAAGAGTTCCTATGCAAGATGCTGTGTAGTTTTCAGTCTACATAGCCTTGTCAGCACTGTTTGAATACTGAATGCGCAGAGTATTTGAGAAACATGCATTTTCTCCATCCCACAGTTCCAGAAAATAGCGAAATTTATGGCATTACCTTTTCATATGGAATGTATTTCATTTTGTGCAGTGAATTCTGCTGAATAATTTTAACTTCTTGGCATTAACATTGTGTAATGAAAAAGACAGTTGGTCTGGAAAACTGGAATAAAAAAAGCTTCCTTCCTTTATTGTCCTTGCCATCTGTGTCATGGCCATTTAGGTATGACACACTGTAGCTATTATTTAAGGAGCACATGTATTCTCTTACTTGTTTTTAAGCTTTGGAAGCTGAGCTATGAATTAAAACGAAGAAGTTTGTCAGCATTTGTCAGCAGGTGGTTTTCAACACGTTTTTTTGGATAAGGGTTTTATATGGACATCATGCAATTAAAGAAATCTCCATCAGAATGTTAAAATCCACTTGATGGAAGTGCAACAGGGACCTGTCTTTATATAACTTAACATTGGATTCTTTCATGTATTTGCTTTATGGAACACACAAGGAGTGTTACCCAACCTAATGCAAGAGCTTGTACATGGACTCACTGCGTGCACTGCCCAAGACACTGTCACTGCTGACCTCCAAAGCCCTTTCCAAGGCCCTTGGTCAGTCATCACCAGGGATGACTCGCAAGTCTCCGGGAGCACTCTGTTTCCCTTGCACAGTGTAACAGAAGACTTGCAGACACCTCAAGCAGCATTGAAGTGCAGATATTGAAGTAGTAACACCAGCTTCAGCACCCAGACTGTTCCAGTGACCAGTGGGAAAATCGTGATGGGAAGAGCAGCCATGGGAGCTTTTCTTTCCATCTGCACTGAGTGTATAAATGTATGTGCCACTCCGGGACAAGAAGGAAAATCTATACTTCCACAAGGAATAAGAACATAATTAATAAATACCAATGAAAGGACAATAAAAAACAACAAACAAAAATCCACAGCATAGAGAAAAATGGTTTCTTAATAGTGGAATACACCTAGAATTGCCCTCTGCCTAAAATAACCTCTGCAGACTAATGTCTCAGTTTCCTAAGAAACCATGTCTTTGATACAGTTACATAATTCTAATTATAAACATATCCTTAGGATATGAAACTTTCTTATAGGAGAGTATTTATATTGTGCAATATTCCACCTTTTTTGATTCACTTCAGAAATTTTATACATATATTGAACATATTCAGGGAAATTATTATTTATTATTGTTCACCTACATTGATAATCAAATTACTCAGAGGACAGTTTGGTTGGTGCTCCTTATCTCTGCACTATAAAATGGGGTCTGATACACACCCTTTACTGTACACGTCTTTGTTGTTTACTGATGTTTAATAGCACCTTGTCATGTCTGTTTGCCATTGATCACAGGGACACTGGCCAAAATCACTGTA